CAGATCTGCCACGGGAACATGACTGACAGCCCCGCTGCTGTTCTCTGGACTCACCACCACATCTGCACGAGGCCATGCTAAGGCTCTTCCAGTCTATGGCTGGGCCATTCCGGCAAATTGCAGGGCTCTTCCTTGAAGGGCCCTCATTGGCAAAACCAACTTTCTCGGACCTGTGCGACACTCAGAAACTTCTTCCCAGCCCTCTTTCCTCATCTCGCTCCTTCCACAGGTGTCAGACCTGCACTGTTGTCTGCAAGCCGTCATCCTAGATCTTGCTCCCTCTGCATATCTCATCCCACATTGGTGAATGCCTCTTTGTAGACCCAAACTAACATAACCACGATCACCAGCAACACCCCTAAGGTGAGAATTCATGCACAAGTGATTTAGTAAGGTCATGCTCGCCAGGAAAACTGGTAAAGGAGAAAGAAAAACAGGGCAGGGAGGGGAGCAAGCTGAGCAATGGTAATTTCGGGCACAATTTTTGTCTAATCCTGTAGAGAAGCTGGGTTCTCAGAAGTAGAAGTAACCCTTCATCATAATTCATCTTGAGTTATGTTCATTTATGTGCCCCAACTAAGCTCAATTTTATAAGATACACTAGATAATCTCTCTCTCTCTCTCTCTCTCTCTCACACACACACACACACACACACACACACATTAGTCTGTTTTCTATTGCTGTAACACAATTGAGATTCAATCTTTTTTTTTTTCATTTTTTCAGACAGGGTCTCACTTTGTAGTTCAGCCTGGCCTTGAACTTGTGGCCTGCCTCCTGCCTCAGTCTCCCCAGTGCTGGCATTACAGGCATGTGCTACCATGCCTGGCTCAAAATTCTACTTATTAAAGAAATAAATGAGATTTATTTCAGCTCACAGTTCTGGAGGCTGTCAAGATTAAGACTGGGTAGCTCACTGGATCGCATGCCACATTCTAGCATGGTGGAAAAATGGGAGGAAAGCCAAGTAGGTAACACTGGGGTGGACTTAATGACATCCAGCTGTCAGGAACTAATCCAGTGCTGTGAGTGAAAAAACACTCAAGAGAAAAGAAATAACATGAATCCCTTTATGAGGACTCTGCTGCCATGACCCAAACACCTCCCACCAGGCCCCGCCTTCCAACACTGCAGCAATGGCCACCAAATTTCAGTGAGGGTTTTGGAAGGGTAAAACCATATAAAAATCACAGCAGTACAGAATCTGCCATGTAATCCTTTGAGAATACTGGATGTACAATCCAATACTGACCTATGCCTAGCAGCTAATAGGCACTAAGTTTATGTTGAATTAATTGTACAATATAAAATGGTTGAAAATTGCCACTATCTTATAAAAAAGCATCATGTAAATTCTTTTTCCACAAAAGGTTACATCCAAAATATAAAGCACCATTGCCCTATTTTTACTCTCTCAGTTCTAGTCCTTCCCCATTATAGAAGTCATACTTTTTGCCCAAATCGGCCTCTCAAACATCAGATCCCTGTAATTATTTTACTCCACTTGTGAAACTATGAGAGAGAAAAGGAGAGAGGGACAGAACCTGAACTGGCCAAATCTGCAATCTAGCATTCTACTGTAGTAAGCATGGAGCAGAACGTTTCCTTTTACCTGGGCAAGCGTCAGGAGAAGGCCTAGAAGAAAAGGCCAAGCTGCCTCCTCGGTCCTGTTTTCCTGGATCTTACACTGAACTGGATGGTAAACTGAACTCAAGAATACACTAAGGAAAAGAAGGGATCGAAGATACGAATGCTTAGAATTGACCCAAATCACACTCTGGAATTTCCCAGGGAGGGCTATTTCCTAACAGATGTGGTCACCTACCATCTTCCCTCACACCTAAGCTGTGTATTGAGCAGGTGCTCAATAAAGCTAAGTGAAAAGGTTACGTGTCATCGAATGTCTTCCCTCTTCATGTATTATTACCTATCTTCTTACATATCCAATTATAAGGAAATAATTGAAGACATGGACCAGGCCCACGATTTGGTAAAGATTCAGGAGTTAAGACTTGAGAAGACAGGTTTTGGGATTAGAGCTGGGCTCAGATCCCAAACTCTGCTTTCTCTAGCCACGTGACCTACGGAAATAAGGCAGTTTCCTTAATTTGGCATCAAAGACCCCGGAAAGTAACATTTTTGCCACCCTATCAAGAAGCCTCTCTAGGTATTAAATGAGTATAATAACTGTATCACCTATTTCAAAATATTACAGTATCCAATGAGATAATACTGCATGTTATGCATTATAAACTATAAAGTGCTTAATTTGATCTAAATGTTGCATATTTTACTGTAGTGATTTTTTTTTTTTTTTGGTACCAGGGATCGAACTCGGGTCCTTGCACTTGCTCAGCAGGTGGCGAAACCACTGAGCTAAATCCCTGGCCCCCATAGTGATTTTTGATGGACAGCCTTTTAAAATGTTACCTACTTTCTTGCCTTACCAAATATAAACTTATCATGAGGGCTTAAGATCAGACTTATATGTGCTATTTTTGCCTTGTTATCTAGCCAGATTGCTGCTTTAAAAAAGCTTTTCAATTTCTTGCGGTAAAATACACATAAAATTTAGCATCTTAAATTCGGAGGGGAGGTGTTAGGGATAAAACTCCTTGGTCCTTTTCTGTCAGTGCGAGGTTCCCCAGACCATTCTGAGTCAGGGTCTCGATAAGTCACTAAATTGGCCAGAGTGGGCTTGAATTTGTAATCCTCCTGCCTAAGCCTCCCAGAGCACTGGGATTACAAGTGTGCGACACCATGCCCAGCTGTGTTTAAGTGGCCAACTCGGTAGTAATAAATATATTCACATCATTGTGCAGCCATACCACCATCCCTCTATAACTTTACTTGTCCTTAACTGAAACTTTGTACCCTTTAATGGCAACTATTAGCCTCAATGATTGCTGCCTTTTCTGTTTCTCTCTGTTTCATTGCTTCACTCATTTTAGCAGCAAAAACAAGTTCATCTCTCTCCTCCCAAATATACTGTTAACTACATCTTGATAGGAACTATGTAAGCCATTTTTAAATCCAAAATATTCTTTGGCATCATGTCGATACCCTTTGGTTCCAACTTGAGTTTTTAGCCCTATTTCTTTCAGAACCCTAAATAAAAGTTAAACAGCAGTCCCTCACACTTTTTCTTTTTGGTACCAGGGATCAAACCTGGGACCTTGTGCTTCTGAGGCAGGCGGTGGATCCACTGAGCTAAATTCCTGGCCTGTCTCACACTTTTTCAAAAAAAAACAAAAAACAGGGTCCTGCTATGTAGGTTCAGAGGCAGGTCTTGAACTCACCGACTCAAGGTGCAGCCCAGGTTGGCCTCGAACTCACGATGATCCTCCTGCCTCAAGTGCTGGGATAACAGGCCTTTGGTACCACACCCCGGTCCCTCCACACTTCCACTCATGCTATTTCCTCCATTTGGAATATCATTTCTATTTAACCCTCCCATCCCTGCCTATGCCTACTAAAATCCTTCAAAGTTCGGCTCATACTCTGACTTCTCCATGAAGGCCGATTGCTTGCCTCAGATTGCAGTGATCTGTCTTCTTTCCTTTGACAGCTATCATCTCTTATACCAGCAACTTTATACTGTAGCTATCACCTTACATCACCAATCTCAGAGCACCTCAGAAAAGGAATTAAGCTATATTATTTCATTCGGCCATTTTGTTTGTGTATTATTCAACCAATACTATCGTGTTTAACAAATGTTTGCCAAATAAGTGGAATTCTAAGTTGCCAGGCTTTAAGAGATGAGTCAATAATCTTTTCTTTTCTTTGGTACCAGGGATCGAACTCAGGGCCTCGATGCCACAACATAACTCTGGGATTTACTGTCACTCGGGTTCTCAATGGCCATACCTCTCCTGGGAAAGGAAGGGAGGAAAAGTTGAGGAGACACGGATTTGTAAAGGATCCTGCATCCCAGACACAGCACATTTCATTTTAAGGATGAATACCATATTCCTTCTACAACTTTTTCTTTCATTAGAGCCTACATGGGCCAGCAAATTTAACTAATTCCTAATAAAGATACAAGTACTACTGCGTTGATCTACAATTTACACTTCCGATCACTATTTTTGTTTATGTTTTTGAGACAGGGCCTCGATGGGGTAGTACCAGCTGGTCTTGAACTCACTATGTAACCTAGGCTGGCCTCGAACTCGAAGCGATCCTGTCTCGGCCTTCCCGAGTGCAATCCCAGCGCCATCACGCCCAGTTCTATTTTATTCTTTTCAACGGCTGTGAAATAGTTATTTTTACTTAAGAGAAAAGGCAAGTGTGCTCTATGAGCTACAGGGCCCCTAAATCACCCGCTAGTAACTAAATCCGAAGCCTGTCAGCATTCGGCCCCAAACTTTGGGGAAGACCACGGTGCTCCTCGGCTGCCTCGGATTCTCTGGCGGCGCGACCTTGCTGCGCGGCCCTCGGGAGCTGCAGCAGCCGCCTTCACCTGCTCGGCCCACAGGGACGCAGGTGCGCGTCCGGCATTTCCCCGCCCAGAAGTGCAGACCCTACAGGGCGAGGCCGCCAAGTCCCCTCGGCCCTAGGGTTACCCAAGAACCCCCCAAAGGCGAGGCCGGACGCTTCAGGCTCCCGACACCCACCCAGGCCGTCAGCCAAGACGCTCGCCCCGAGCCGCCCCCAGCCCGGCCTGCCCTCACTCGCGGGCCGCTCTAGCCACGCCCGGGCGGCGGCTCGTAGCTTCCCGCCTGACGTCATCACCCGGCGCCCAGCGTGGTCGCGGGCTCGCGCGGCTGGGAAGATGTCTGCGACACCGCTGCTCTTCAGTTTGCCCGAAGCGCGAACGCGGTTTGCGGTAAGCCGGGAACGAGAGGGGCTCGGGCCTAACTCGGCACTATTGTTTCCTTTTTTATCCCCTGAAATTTCTTGAATTTTGCCCTGGGATGAAGCGGGGCGGAGGGGTGTACACCGCGGCGTTCGCTCCCGGCCCCTTCGGGGGTGGGGAGGTAGGAAAGCGCGCTACCTGCATCTTCCGTGGGTCCCGCGCCGTCCGCCTCAGCCCATCGCCTGCGAGCCCCGAGCGCCCTTGCCGATACCTGCGGTCAGGTCCATCTGTGCTTACCTGCCTGGGCGAGTGTCTCCAGAAGGAGAGCTGCCGCAGCGCGTAGGCGAGAGGGATTTATACTCGAGACCGAGGTCTCGCCCCGCCTCCTAAGCCGCCAGATGCCTATTACGCCAAACAGTTCCCCGCTATCCCCTCACCGTCCTGAGAGTGATAAGGAGCTACGTGGGAAGAGGCAGGCAGACAGACAGATCATCTTGGGGAGGGTTACCAGCTGCTGTTTTGTTCTTGCTCAACAGGGAAGGGTAGTTTGAGCATTTGGGGAACATTTTATGGAGCACTTTCACGTTAACTCACTTAACTATTAAGATAACGCTAAAATAGACTGTGTTCTTATTTCTAGTACGTGAGATAGAAACAGCCCCCACATTAATTGACTTAAGATGGTTTCGGACCCAGTGTTCTATTTGTATTGCCCACCATAGCAACGTGTGTGTGAAGAACACTTCCATATCATCTGACTGTGTTCGTCTCTGCCATCTCCATCAGTATTTTAAGGCATGGTTCAAATACTCAGATATTTAACTCTTAGATGTTTGTAGTGATGGTAGAATGAAAAAGAAAAATGATTCTTTGTGGTCAGTTTTCCCGTTTCCCCAAAAAACATGTTTTTGTCTGATGAGTTATATCTTCTTTATGTCATCAGAATTGTCTTCTTTGATCACATTTATCCCGAAATTTAATTTCCATTTAATTGGAGATCATGCAGTCCAGTGCTCCCAGGCTGCATTGTGCAGTGCTATCACCTGGAAACCTTGTAAAATAGAAGATTCTAATTCAGTCAGTCTGGAGTGGGACGGAGAGTCTGCGTTTCTAACAAGTTCCCAGGTGATGCCACTGCTGCGGTCGATGGTAAGGCTCTATGACAATTCTCTTATTTAACTGGTGAGGCAAAGGAAGCACGTGGAGGTAAAACAATAAGTCCCAAGTTATTCAACCTGTTAGCTGCAGAGCCAGAAGTGGACATTTACAGTATAGATCTAACCCCTTATCAGGTAGTAGAACGACTTTTCAAATACATTGTGAATTTGCACAGAGTGAATGACTTTGCAATATTGCTGTCTTTTAAGTTTTGGGGGGTTTTTTGGTACCGGGGATTGAACTTGGGTCCTTGCGCTTGCGGAGCAGGCAGTGGAACCACTGAGCTAAATCCCCGGCCCCTATCTTTAAGTTTTGATCACTTTAAACATTCAGAAGGTATTTATTCATTGCTTACTATTTGTCAGAGACTGCTGAGCAAGGTACACTGGACCCTTGACTTATGAACCCCATCCATTTGGCAGGGCTGGTTGTAACTAAGTCAGTACAGCTGAGATCTGGATGTTTACCTAGATACACAATTTAGATGATAAGAGGCAGATGACTCTCCCATTAACCTAATTATTCCAAGTTGTTTGTACATCAGGCCAGTCATAACTTGAGGGTGCACTATATCTGCAGGAGATAGGACTTGAAGTAAGTCTGGAAGAATGGCTAGAATTTGGATGAGTAGGTAGGAAGAACAGCTTGAAAGTGTGAATGAGCTTGATAAAAATGATGTTAAGAAATGGCCAGATTTTAGTGGGAGGGTATGTTAGAGAAAGGGGGTGTTTGGGTAGATTGAATAGGATAACATTATCAGAGGCTTTAAGGGAGCTATGAATATTCTAAGCCAATAAGGAGCCATTGGAGTTTGTTTTTTGTTTTGCTTTTTTGTTTTTTTAGTAGGGTACTGTCATAGATGTGATATTTAAAGAAATAGTAGGAGCGAACCAGCCACGGTAGCTCACTTCTGTAGTCCCAGCTAATTGAGAAGCTGAGTTGGGAGGATTACTTGATCCCATGACTTTGGGACCAGCCTCGGCAACATAGCATAACCCCAGTTGAGGGAGAGAAAGGACTTGGAATGAAAAAGTCTAGCTATATGCTCTTCCCAAATTTAAAATGATGAGGCTCTATGTCATTAAGTGGCATTTAAAATAAGAATTACTTGCTGTGCAAGCACAAGGACCCGAGTTCGATCCCTGGTACCAAAAAAAATAAAATAAGGATTACTGAGAGAATGACTGACTGATAGGGAATTTTTCCTGGTTGTAAACATTTCTTAGAAAGATAGACTATCGATGAATGATTATTTTTCAGTAAACAAAAAGCAGACTCCAGTTTGCTGTTTTTATTTTTTTAGAAGTCTGCTAGAGAGGCCTTGAATAACAAAACTATCAAGCCATTGTCAAATACCTTCAACCAGTTACCTGGCAGGTAAGGCGTTATTGTCTCTGAAAAATGTCTGCATGAATATTTATATTTGCCCTGAGCTGTATAAAAATGGGGGCATCTTTTGTTTTTAATAGTGAAAATGAAAAAAAATGTACCCTGGACCAGGCTTTCAGAGGTATTCTAGAAGAAGAGATTGTAAGTATGTTTTTCCTTTGTTGTTAAAATTTTATTGGTAAATATACTGTGATATTAGAAAATTGCTTTTATTCCTAGGATGATTATGTAAACATGACCTTTTTTTTCCCCAGCATGAACGTGCTGCCTGTGAAAGCTGATTTGATTGTTGGTGTAGGAGTTATGTCATAATTAAGGATTTTGATAGCACAAGTGCAGTTTAAAGTGTTGGTGATAAGAAATGTAACATTTGGTTTTAATGAACAAGAACTAGAGGTTAAAGGTGGGTTCTCTCACTTGGCAGTATAAATTTAGTGGCCCAGTCTCTAGTGGCATGAAAGGTCCAGTCCAAGGAGGTTCAGCTGGGAATTAGGATTCCATGCCGTGGTTTTCCTGTGGTACCCAAGGTATTAGTAAGCATATGTAAATAACTAAATTTTCTCTACCTTCAGGAGAGAAAGCCTATCCGTGAAAAATATAAATTTATTTTCCATTAGTGGAGCTGTTGACTAAAAGGAACTTTTTCAGCAGTTTATTCTTGGTCAGGCAGAATTTGGCTAGATCTCAATAGCCATAAAAGTTTCCCCTTTGTGCAGACAGTTCTAGATCAAACTTATTCTTTCCTTTTCTTCAAACTTGATCACTTTTCTATTGTGAGGCATTTGGGAAGTAACTTTGCTTTCAGAGCTTCAGTTTCACTTATAAAGGGAAAAAATGCATTTTTCTTGTTCTTGTATAAAACAACACAATGAACATTCAGCAGACGCTGGCTATTTCAATTGCATAATACCCGAATAATTCTACTCTCCTAGGAAACCCTCCTCGGATGCACTGATGCACAAATGTGCAGCATTAAGATCCCCAGCCCTCCTTTGCCCGCTGCCATGGATTGAGCTCTGGCCTTAGCACTTCTGTTCTTAATTAGCTTATCGTGTTAGCCTCATGCCATCATTTTCCTGAGATTTTGAGAAAGTTACTGCTTATTACTTGACATTCTTCTAGAATTATTTATTTATATATTATTATTCATTTTTTGTATTTTCATCTTAGAAAATAATTTTATGTTCTATAAGAATTATTTTGATTCCATAATTGTGATAACGTCAAAGGACATGTTTTTCTTGTTAGCAAATTAGCCTGAACTCTTGCCCCTAAATTAAGTTTTTCTTCTCTGTTGGTAGATAAATCATTCATCATGTGAAAACGTTTTAGCTATTATTTCTCTTGCTATTGGGGGAGTAACTGGAGGTAAGTGTGGTTTGGTTTTATAAAAGTTACTTTGGACACAAAATGTTTACTTAAAACTTCTCCCTATACCTCTCAACCTGTCTGATTTTGTTCATTTTTCGAATTCTGCTTGACTCCCACTTTGCTAACAATTTGTCCCAAGCAAATTTATTCATACTTATTTCTCATCTCTGTTACACAGTGCACATATTGACACTTCCTTTGCTTTTCAGTTGTTTCATTCATGCACTAAGTGTGTATTGAGCATCTACTATTTGTCTGGTACTAAGCTAGGATTTGGAGATTCAGTAGTGAATAAGACATACTCCCCACTGATACACATCTAGGGGTTGATGGAAGAAACAGATATGTGAATATGTCACTGGAGTATAAATACTGTGGTTGAGTGGGAATGACGTGTTGAAGGAAATACGTAAAAATGACTGAATTTCAGAATCTAAAAGAATCGGAAGAGGTTTTAGAAATCAAACTGTACCATGAGGGCTGGAATGTGAGAGATCATGAGTTTGAGAAACAGAAGGGAGTGGTTATTAAACAGGGGCCAAGTGCAGCATGCTAGAGACCTATGTGGGGCAGGGAGTTAACAGAGGACAGGCCTGGTGAGGAAGGAAGCAGGAGCGTGGGTTAGATCCTTCGTAAAGGCTATGTGTGCTGTGTGGAACAGTGCTGTGGAAGAACACTTGGGCTGGCAGGAAAACTAGGCAGGGGACTGTTAATGGGACAGTGGTGTATGGGGTGGCCATGACCCTTAAACGAGGCCCTTAGTAATACGTACACAGTGCCTGACATAGTAGGAGCTCATTAAATATTTTCACAACAAAATGTAAAGTAGTTCATCACCATTATTTAAATAATTAAAATGTTTACTTGATTAATTCAGATAATTTATGTGAAAACTGCCTTTTAATCTGTAAAGCAATATTCATCTTATTATTTTACTACTTACTGCAACAAAAACTGGAACACACAAGGTAAAAGTAGTCTCCCAGTGTTGCACCCAGCTATTTTGTGGTTTTATTTCCTAAGTTCTGACTTTACCTATTGAACTTTTATAAAAGCTACCTAATCATTCATTCATGAAGCAAATTTACATGCATTTGCAGTGCAGTTTTTCTTGCCTGGTTTCTGTCAAACAGTTTACAGTGTGTGCTTAGTTCATTGATTAACTTAGTGTATTATTCTTACAAGAGCAATGAAGCTCTTTAGCACTCAAGGCGGTACCACATCTATACTTAGAACTTCTACTTTGAGAAAGATGAGAACTTAGGAACTTAAACTATAAATAAAGGCATAGATGCATTTTTATTTTGTTTGGGGGGGAATTTCTTCTTGAGAGGTTATCTTTGTTTATGTAATGTGTTTTCAAATTGTCCATAAATATATTTTCTAATTTCAACTTGGGAGATATTTATTGAGCTTCTATTTGTTGTCAGACAATGGTTAAAACATATAGAAATGCCTACTCTTAAAAAACTCAGTTTATATTGCAAAGGAGTTTAATTAGGATATGCTAAATGATACTGTAGATGTATGTGCTGTGTGTTTCAGAAGCACAGATGAGGTGGTCTGCTTCAAGATACTAGGGTTTTTTTTGTTTTTTGGGTTTTTTGGTACCGGGGATCGAAGTCGGGACCTTGCTCTTGGAAGGCAGGTGAAGGCACCACCGAGCTAAATCCCTGGCCCCAAGATACCAGTTTTTTAAATGAGCTGACATTTACTCTACTTTGAAAGATAGAGTCAGTATTTTCCATGTGATAGAGAAGAAAGACTGTTTAGGCAGAAAAAGAAAATTCTGAATTAAACCACAGAAGTGTGAATATAGCCTGGCATTTAGGAGCTGGGGAAGGTATCTGTCCATTGTAAGCAGAGAGATCAGAGTAGAAGCTGGTATACAAGCTTGGAAAATTCTGGGAGATCATGAAACCCATTCCCATACCTCCTGGCTCACTAGAATTGACGACCACATCTGTTTTTAAATGAGATTCCCAGGCCCTCACTTATTTCTACT